CAAAAGAATGTAAGAAATATACTAGGCCTGATACGTGGCCCCATGACCAAGGAGTCTTGCCAATGGTACTAAAGGGATGGGATAGGTATTCCTTCCAATGGGATGGTTCGGAATAAAGGATAAAGCAATTGGGCAGATGAGGAAGGAAAACATGATCCCACCCTCCATAACCATGACTTCAAAGACCCATGATGTCCCTTGGTCACTAGAGGGTTCATGAGACCCGGGATTTTATTTTGCTCCCTGCTACACAGACCCCTGTACTTGAACAGTTTCTGGCATGTAAGAGGCTCCCAATTAATTATTTTTGAATTAACACAACATTACAGCACCATCACCCATGAATTTGCTTAAAACCAGTGGCATACTAATTTACCAGCTAGGCCTACTAATAAGGCAAAACACACTTAAACCTTTCCCATAATGCACCTGGGTGCCACTGCGTCATTCAGGGATTCATTTATTCCTGCAACAAAAAAGTACGGAGCACCTGCAATGTGCTAGGAATTTTTCTGGCATCATAGGGGTAAAGTGGTAGACAAGACACAGAGTTCCTGCCCTCACGGTGCGTCCAATCTAGTGGTGCTCCCCAGCTGCTGTGGGGCGGACAGGCTGTTAGGGAGGAGCAGAGGGGCAAAGAGGCCAGCGAGGACACTAGTCTAGACCAAAGGTGAGATGATGACGGCTTGGACCTGAAAGGTTTGGTGACAAGGGATTGGATTCAGGATACATTCTGCACATTTAGAGGCTGATGGGAAAAAATCCAAGAGATGGAGAAATTGATAATGCAGGAAAGAGGGGGTGAACCCATGGGCAAAGCCCTTGAATGAGCAACAGAGGTTGGAACCCCAGGCACCAGTGGACTGTCTCAGACGGGGACAGGGAAAAGGGATCCAGTGTAACAGGTGCAAAGGCGGACAGTGTGGGTACCATCATCTTCCTGAGCACCAATGCCTTCAAAAAAGGAAATTCTTATCTAAACAAAACCCCTTAAGCTGCAGGTTAAGCTTATTCCCTTCCCAGATTAAGAAATATAATGCATGTTCATTGCATTTAGAAATTTTAGAAAACATGTAATTCTACCATCTAGTGATAACGATTATAAATTTTTGTTGCATTTCATCCCTAAATGTACTCTGGTTACCTATCTAATTTATTCTGTCATTGGGTTCATACTGTGTATGTAATTTGACATTCTACTTTTCTCAGAAGTGTTCATTCTATGTTACACTCACGTGTTCCTCAGTTTAATGGAAAGACTGACTTGGAGTCAGCATGGTGTCTGAGTCCCAGCTCCGCCACAGACAAGCCTTCAGCCTCCCATGCCCCTTCACTGCTCTGGCCTTCAGGACAGCTCCAGTGGCCTCTGGGTCCTTGCTCCCGCCATCTTCCCACCTCCCTGGAAGGGAGGGTCAGTCTCCATGACCAGCCGCTCTTCCGTACACACCTGAACGGTTCTGTCTCAGTCCTGTCCCCGTGCTACATACTCTGCCTGGATCAATCCACGTATCCCTTGCTTTAAAGCTGCTTCTAGACAAGTACTTTCTCTGCATGAGCCAGGGCAGGCCTCTTCTCTCTACCCATATGCACTTCTTCCCACGAAGCTGCTCCCGTTTATGTGATTCCTCAAGTATCCCTGACACTGTCTTCTAACATCTGACCGCTCGTGTGCATTCTACCTCCTACGTCTACATCCTCTGACCCTCTGACCCTCCTCATGTACAAACATTTTACCTTTCTTTTCACATGTGCTCTACACCATCTAAGCCACCCCACATCTCTTTTATCTGCCCTGCTACTTCTCTCCACTTCTTTCCACAAACTCGTACTGGGCTCCATTACTCTTCAAACACCAAGGCTCCCCCTGCCCCAGGGCCTTTGCACGTCCTGTTTCCCCTAGCTGAACCACTCTTTCCCCAGACATTTGTGTCACCTGTGCTTATCTCTCCTCAGGTCTCCGCTCAAAGGTCACCTTATTAGAGAGGCCTTTCTTCATTCTATATAAAATCAAGTTACAACCCCCAGCCCCTGGTACTCTTATTTGTTTAAGCCACAAACTCTCCCAGGGAAAAATTGTGTTCACTGTTGTATTCCCAGGACCCACAGGGGCCCAGCACATTCATCGGCATTCAGTATACATCTATGGAATAAATATTTTTTAAAGATTTTCTTTATTTATTTTTAGAGAGAAGGGAGGGAGATAGAGAGAGAGAAACATCAATGTGCAGTTGCTGGGGGTCATGGCCTGCAACCCAGGTATGTACCCTGACTGGGAATTGAACCTGTGACACTAGAATAAATAATTTTGAAAACGTACAGTCTTGGAGATTGTTTCATATCAATATTAGCAACAGAGAGGGACCGCCCCCTTTCTTTTCATTGGGTCTTCCACATTTAGGTTATTTCCAATCTTTTCCCATTATAGCGGCTTGCTCATGCATAAGCTATTTATAAGGTACGTTTCTAAAAGAGAATTGCTGGATCAAAAGTACACATCTTCAATATGAGAAAGAATGCCAGATTGTCTTCCGTAGAGATTTATGCAATGTATTCCCCTTTCAGCCACAAATAGAGACTATTTCTCCACACATTTGTCAATATAACCTCTTGTCAAACATTGTTGTAAAATCTCGGCAAATGGGATAGTAAAAAATAGCATCTCCGTGTGTTTCCATTTGCTTTTTCTAATGAGTTTTTTTGGTTCTTTTTTGATTGATAGTCTCTCTTTGAGCATTATGAAAATTTATTTTGTTCCCTTTGAATTTCCTCTTCTATATCCTTCTGCACTTCCTGTAATCCAGCCATTCTAAACCACCTGCTGTGGCCCAAATGGGCCACATTTTGGAAAATGCCCATTCCTGCCACTTCCAGTCAAGTTCTAAGGCATTTCAATGCTTATGGAATGCCCCTGTATTCCTTTCATAGGACTTAATCCCTCCCACCCAGGGCACATTTTTAGAGCTTTGTAATAGCATCATTTCACTGTGCTGTGTACTTATGTGAGCTCCTCAAAGTTCAAGACCAAGGTCTTCATCTTAGCATCCCTTATGATATCCAACACATCCACTCAATTAATGCAGGATGAAAGACTGAATTAGAAATAAAGACTGTGAATTTTCATTACAGACGTTCCTTAAACTCCCAAACCAGTGCTGTAAATCCAGTGACAGAGATAACAAAATGAAGTGAAGGCCTGAAGATTTGTTCTTGGGCCTAAAAGTTCGTATCACAACTTAATAAATGCTAATCAAATCCTTCTTTTGAGTTTTTTGCTTAGTATTGTTTAACACTGAAAATTGTGGCTGTGACTTAAATGACTAAAGAATATAACAAAGATCAAAGCACTTTCCTAAAGCAAGGCACTAATGACCCAAACACTTAGGAAAAGGTGATCAACTTCTTTGCTAATCAAGGAAATGCAATTTTGAAATCACAAGATACCACTGAGCCTCCACCGGAATGTCTAAAAAGAAAAAGTTGGGCAATGCCAGGTGTGAATGTAGATGAACTAGAACTCATATGCCGCTGGAGGAAACTGGCACAACCACTCTGGAAAAAGGGGTAAATCAACAAAAGCTACCCACATGCCAATGCTGTGCCCCCGAAACTGTACTCCTGGGTACACAGTCTATAAAGACACACGTGTTCACCAGAAGCTATGTACAAGAAGGTCCAGAGCAGCATTAACTGTAACAGCCTCCAATCAGAAACACACAAATGTTTGTCAATAGTAGAGTAGAAAAACAAATTCTGGTATTCCTACAATGGAATTCTAACAGTAAAGAGAACGAACAAGCTACAACATCACACCAAAATATGCGTGAATCTCACTGATCCAAAGAGCAACTTAAATGACAAAAACAGGCCAAGCTAATCTGACGGTGCTGCAAGTCAGGGGACCCCCTTTGCAGTGGGCATAGGGACTGGGGACAATATAAGGAGGCTTCTAAAGAAGGGGTAATCTTCTGTTTCTGATCCGGATGCTGGTTGCACGCTGGTGTTCATCTTATGAAAACTCACTCAACTACATTTGTGTTTTGTATCCTTTCCTGCATGGGCATTACACATCAATAAAAAGTTTACCTAGAATAAAAGAAAAGCAATGGGCTAAACCTCCCAAGGACAATACATTTTTTAAAATATCTTTCATGAATAAATGTTTTTAAATGTCCTAACGAGCATTAGCCACTTGCAAACCCAACTGCTTTGCACTGTTTGACCCAAGAGCCTACTACTAAAAAAAGATCCCAGAGAAAGCAATTTTCTATCCCTGAAGTAATGCAGAGGCCACAAATGGTGTTCACAATTGTTTAAGAAAAACAACAATAGCAACAAAAGGGGGTGACCAGAGGCGACCAGCTATAGGGAACAAGCCACAATTGCAGAAAAAGATGAAAAGGAACAAAACCTTCTTAAAATTACACCAAAATAGCAATTACTCTTAAATAAGCCTTCTGCTGAACTACTAAAAAAAAAAAAACAACAACTATTTATTCTAATGCAGATCTGTGCCTCAGTGCCCAGCTTCCCTCCCAACATTATTTTAAAACACTGCACAACAGATAAAGAAAGGGAGAGTGTCATGTGAGCAGTAATTAGTGGCAAGTGCAGGTGTCTGAACAGAGGGAAACCAAGGGAATGAAACACAAACCCTTCCACCTCATTAGTCTTCTAAAAATATTCTCACCATACAAAGGCATGCCCTGCTTACGTAGTATTTAAATGAATGAGAAACCTAATCAAAATGGGTTTTGTGAATCTTAACCATAGCCCAGATGCAAATACTTTGGAGATTTAAAAAAAGGGAAAAAAGAATCGATGGCACAACTAGCCAAGCGATGCTTCAAATAAGCACAGAAATGGACAAAATAAAATCAGTATATATTAAACTCAGTTATCTGTGCCAATGGAGGCAGATTTTGAAAAATCTTTTCTATTGGACTATGAAATATAGAAATAACAGACACTTGGGAGGCTGACGAACAGACCCAAATACTTACCCTCTTATGAACTTGGCATTAATTCATTTTTAACTCGATCTCAATAGGACTCAAGAAGCAGGCGAATGGAAAAGATCTGAAGTCTTGGCAACCACCAGAAGGAGAACACTTTGCAGCCAGTTTTCAACGTCCTATTGTAAAAGGAGATACCAAAAGGATGATTAACTGAAACTCACAGATAATCCATCACGGTTCATGTCAGTCATTGTACAAAACTGGTTTTGCAGAAATATCACCAAATGAGGAGCCCCTATAGAAAGAAATGAGAAAAATTATGTTGTTGAAGTTTTATTACTCCCTTGGCCTTATCTCGTCCACCTCCAGGCAAAGGTTCTAATAGTGAAACTTTCAGAAGGCAGGTAGCAACAATGAAAACAAGCAAGAGATCTGAATAATCAAACTTTTAATTAATTTTTTAAAAAAAATCTGGAACTAGTAATTCTTGGCTCATGTAATGATTCTTTTAAAAAATTGTTCTCCCTTACAGAAGTAACAATTTGAATTAACCACTAATGATCTGAGCTAGGAATGGCATTAAGGGAGAAAGGAAGATGGGAATTACCTCCTTTATCAAAGCAGGTTTATTAAAGGCACTTATGCCGACGGTTCAGCCAAAACCAAACATAAATTGTCTAACACTAACCTGGTTAAACAGGTTTAAAGAGAAGATCACCATCATCTAGCCAAGAATAATTGAAATTAGCAATAAAAACAACAAGAAGAAGACTTGCTGAGGGCCCAACAAGGGCTGACAGTCAGGTTAGCACATTAATCAAAGAGTAACTAAGAGGTCTCGCTAGAAGAATGCACAGAATAAAGACGAAATAAACAAATGCATGGAGAGCATCCGAGCTGAGCACGCACTCACTCAGCAAGCGTTTACCCTGAGTGCTCACAACGCTGCAAAAGATGGATATCCATCATTTTTGTCCAGCCACCTCATCCTTCTGCTACCAGAACGTCAGTCTTTCTGTGAGCTCCCCTGACCCCTGCCAAGCCAGTGACTGCCCTAATGACCCTGTCCCCAGTTGCTGGTTCAGAGTTAGGGGCGTGACCAAAGGCAGGGACAATCAGAAGCAGCCATCATGGGCAGGACAGAGTTGGTCAGCATGCAGGAAAAGGCCCGTAGCTGTTGCGAGGTCCTCGCACAGTCAAAGCCTGGCTGCCAGTGAAGCCAGAGGAGAACAGGCTGGGAGATGGCAAGGACCAAGGCCCCGAAGACACGACTTGAGCCCCTAGATCCAGCCATGCCAGAAACTAGGCCTACTCTTAGACTTTTTAAGCAACATAAGCCAATACATTTTCTTTTAAATTGTCTTTGAGCTGGATGGGTTTCTGTTACTTGCAAACAAAACATCCTAATACACCCCTGTTGCTGTATTCCTTTAAAACCGTTTATAGGAATAATTCTTCAGCCAGAGCACTCCCCCTCAATTATTAAAAAATCAAAAAGTATCTTTTGAAGTGGAACATCTGAGAAGCGGACATGAAATAAGTCTTTCCCTTTATTATTCCCCGCATCTACAGACCTTTTGAAGACTGAATTATTTCCTCCCACAAGAGAAAATAAGCTTCTTGGTGTAACTGATTAGTCACACCACATCCTAACACTCGGTTCTTGGGGCCTTCAGAACACCAAAAACCAATGTGTTCAGCTCAGTCTTTGTGGCGGATCCCAAGAATTCCTAGGATGAAGTCGAATTTGAGTTTTGCGGCTTACATCCACTTCATTCCGCCTCCCCTGTGAAAAGGAGGAAAACCCAAATAAAGAGTGCACGGATTCTACGAGCCTCCCTCGGACCCCACAAAACAGAGGCCAGTCACGTGCTCAAACCACAGTTACAAAGGGCCGATGTCAGCAGTCAGATCTGTGGGTTTTTAACGTGCTCACCATTCCAAAACCATATTCTGATAGAAAAACACAGGCTGGACACAAGAACCCACGAGAATCGGGCCCGTACTCTCTGCCCCTTTCTGCTGGGATCTGTCCTGGGTAGACAGTAGCATGTGCAGTGGAGCTCACATCTGATCACCTAGGCACCCTTGGGTGAGGGGAGGATACTGAGCCAGGTGCCGAACGGCAGAATTTGCCAGCATAAATTGGCAGAGAAGGCACAGGACCAGAAAGAAGCCCAGGGCACCGAGACCTGGACCTGCTCAGGCCCTGGCTTTGCAAACAACTGTGTGTGACCTCGAGTAAGCCTTCCCAGGTGCCAACTGCCTTAGTTTCAACATGTGACAGATTCATGTTTTCCACTGTGGGTAGTGACTCAGGGAGTGGACGGTGAAATCAAGCCTGTGGATCGAGACCAACCTTAAAAATATGATTCTAGGACTGAGACGGAAATTATACCAGATGAGTCTAGAGCATCTTGTAGTGCCGGAAAGTGAGGATGCACTTCCAATACAGACAATGATGGGCTTGTGTCAAAGGGACACAGGAGTCAACTGAAAAAGCTCCTTGTAGTCAAAGCTGGAAGAATTGGAACACTGACATAAATAAAGGGCTATTGTATTATAAGCCAAACAAATATCCACAAACCCATACTGATATAAACACTGATTAACTGAATAAATCAATCAGTGAATGGGGGAGGATAGACAAACCTACATGCAGAGCAAAATAACCCAGTAGATACTCCGCCCTTGAGGTGGGACATAACTCCCCGCTCCTTCAGTGTGGGCTGCGCGCAGTGGGCTGGGGAAGGAGTGACTTCACAGCGCAGTAACCAGATGGACACTAGCTCGGCCCGGGGGCCAGGGTCAGCATCAGCACGGACACATCAAGTTGGCAGGATGTACACTGAACACGATGTGATAAAAATGGCATTACCTCTGTGGCCTTCCCCCCAAAACCCACAACCCCAGCCTAATCACGAGAGAAACATCAGACAAATGCCAACTGAGGGACATTCTACAAAATACCTGACCAGCATTCCTCACAATTGTCACGCTCATTGAAAACAAGGAAAGCCTCAGAAACTGTGACAACCAAGAAGAGACGTGATGACTAAACATAACGTTGAATCCTAGATGGGATCCTGGAACATGAAAGGGACATTAGGTAAAAACTAAGGAAATCTGGATAAGGTGTACACTTGTACTAACAGTAATATATCAGTATTGGCTCCTTTAATTGTGACAGATGTACCTCATTACTGTAAGGTAGTCATCATAGGAGGAATGATGTGGGGGGCATATGGGAACTCTTGCCATTATCTTCACAACCTTTCTGTAGATCTAAAACTGTTCTAGCCCTGGCTGGGTGGCTCAGTGGGTTAGAGCATCCACCCGTATGCTCAGCCAAAGGTTGAGGGTTCAATCCCCAGTCAGGGCACATACCTAAGTTACGGGATCCATTCCTGGTCCAGGTGCATATGGAAGGCAACCAATCAATGCTTCTCACGTCACTGTTTCTGTCTCTCCCCACCCCCACTTCCTCTCTCTAAAAGTCAGCAAACATATCCTCAGGTGAGGATTAAAAAAATGATTAAAACTGTTCCAGAACGAAAGGCTGTTGGAGCAGAAAGGGTGGTTTGAACAAACTGAGCATTATTAGAACACGTGACCTCTAAGCTTTCCGCTACCTTTAAAGAGAAGGAGCACAAAGGCCACCCTCAGGCCACAGTAAGAAAATCCAGATGCAGGTCTCAGGCTCTGCCATTTGCCCCTTGGGTAAATCACTTCCCACTCAAGGTCCTCAGCTGGATTTTCCCCTCCTGTACAACAAGGCTAGTTCCCGTCCTGCCTACCTCACAAGCTTTTGCTTTGTTGTGAGAAGTATACTGAAGTGATTTACAAGTGTGGAAATGCTAGGCAAAATATGGAGGTTATGATAACCAGAATTCTCTAGTTCTTCCCTGAATCAGAGTGGACTCAGGGCTGGTGGAGGGAGACTCAGAGTCTTTTGCCTACTGAGCTGGTGCTTGGATTCTCAAAGGGGTCCCTGGACCAGCAGCATCTGCATCACCTGGGGACTTGTCAGAAACACAGAATCTTGGGCCTCACCACAGACCCACCAAATCAGCAGCTCTGGGGCGGGGCCCAGCAATCTGTGTTTTTACAAGCCCTGCAGGTGACGCTACTGAAGTTTAGACCACCAACTCAGAGAAAACCATCGGGGACCGCCACACTGGGAATCCCATTCGAAGGGACCACACTCCTCCAGCTGGCTCCCTGCCCAGCTAGCAATCACGTGGCTCTCGTGTCCTCCAGAACCCCCTTCACATCTATTAACACTTGGCTAATTCTCACACAACTCCTCTGAGAGAGAGGAGGAGGGTATGGGAAAGTCCCTGACATGCCAAACCTCTGCATGAGTTCACTAGCCAGAGCAAGCCCCAAGAACATGGTTATTTTGCCCAACTATTCTGTGCAGTTCTTAGCCATGAAGGAAAATTGGGACATCTCTCAGAACCACACATCACACATTTTGCAAAGACCCAAACTCCAGCATCCTGTCCTTCTGGTCACCCAGCACTGGTCAGATAAAGGTGTCTTAATCCGCGGGTCAGAAACGGCAGCTATCTTATATAAACAGCCACCTACACCCGTGCACGTACCACATTAAAGTACAACCTGCAGATGCCAGAGAACAAAAGAGGCTTTCAGGTCCTTAATCAAGAAACAAATGATGCAGAACCCAGAGTAACAAACAAACTGGAATGCTATTTTGGCCGGGGGTCAAAGACTAGAAAAACAGGAATTACAAGTCAGGAGTCTAAGCTGGTCGGCATGAAGAAGTCCAGACAGACCTTTTTCTGAACCATGTTTAGGCCACAGTTATTATTTTCCTCATATGTGTCATTTCCTCACATCTAACGGCTTGCATACAACAAACTTAAGACAACAGTAGTCTAGGGAAGGACTGCATTGAAAAGCTAATCGGGGTGAAACTATACTGTTGGTACACATGTGTAGTTCCAAGATCAGAGGACCGCTGATACACGCTTGGTGTCTCATGCATGTGTTATAAAGAACATTATTTCTATAAATCATATATAAATCATACACAAAAAAATTCACCTACACTTTCCTGATTCCCTATTCGCTGTCTTCTGGAAAATAGAATCTCCAGCCCATAATTTATTGACAGATAAAATGAAAACAGATGAACAATACATGACCACAA